ATTATCCTCTTGTATACAACACTTATACACAATGTTTAAGGTTACATAAATAATCACGAAATTTTCATTTGATATTCATAAAATATTCATAAATATATGCACATAAAATGATGAATAAACTCTTTTATTAATTAAATAATAAATATCCTATTACATCTCATGCTTCTAGGACACCATTCTCAACAAGGAGAACTTTTAAGAATGTCTATTTTATTTAGTGAATTTAGGTCACACGAGATTTTAGGAGTTCCTATCGCCTCTATGGAAAAGAAGTTTAAGAAATATTGGTCTAAATTACCCATATTGTATGATTTCGGTGTTATTTTCGACCCTAGATTAAAATTAGAAGATTTAGAAAGTGGATTAGATAACTTAGGTGAATTTTTAGCTATCGACACTATTGACTAATTTCCTATTATAAAGGAAAAAATATTTTCTCTCTATATCTCTTACGAAAGTAGGTTTAGAAACACACCTCGTGTTGAACAACCGCAACAACGAGATGACAATCCGCATTCATTCTTGAATGTTTTCAGGTTGTCTAAGAAGAAGAAGAAGAAGATGGTGACTCAAGGTCAAGAAGAATCTGGGAGTGGATCTTCGTCAAGAGGTGGCGGCAACATCGGCGGATTCAACGAGTTAATGGCGTACCTGAGTGAGGGCTTAGTTGTACACAATAGTGAAATGTTTGATTTAGTTCAGTGGTGGAGGGCACGAGCATTAACTTGGCTGATCCTAACACGACTGACAATGGATATTTTTTCCATCCCACTCTCCACTGTTGCAGCCAAACAAGCATTCAGTACAACCGGCCAAATACTTGAAGAACGGAGAAACGCATTGAAACAGGATATTGTTGAAGCTTTGGTGTGCATCAAGGATTTGGATCGTTCAGACCAATGCTTACACGATACAATCTCACTGGCAAGCCAAGAATGAATCGACGAGTTTAATAGATTAACTTTTAATTTTCAAGACGATCCTTCTGCTTCAAATTAAATTTTATTATTGTAATTTGTAAATATTTATGTACTTTATAATTTCTAATTTGTATAGTGTTATTGTAATCTTGTATAGACTTTGTAAGTCGTCAAATTTGTAATTCGTCTCACAATGATATCACTCTTTTTTCCTTACCAAGTTTTTATCCCAATTAGGTTTTTCTTGGTAAGGTTTTTAACGAGGCAATCATGAATTACAAATTTAAAAATCAATGAAGAAATAATATTTTTTATATAGTTCGTGTGTTCATTTTAAATTTCAAATTGTACACATTATAATTATACAAATACAAGTTATACAATATAAAAATATAATATAAAAAAAAGTTTGAAAATTTGGGCAGCCGGTCGGGCATCGGGCAGCCACCTCCTGCCCGAAGCCCGTCCATGGTGAAATTCGGGTCGGGTCAGGCAGCCCAAATTTTTTGGCACTTCAGGTTCGGTACTCAGGCAAAAATTCAGACTTTTCGGTGGTCACGAGCGGCCCGTCCAAAGTTTCAGCACTAGTAGTAACCAAAGACAAGAAGATTGGTTTAGGTTCTTACAAGCATTAAATGTACCTCCTAGAGCATTAGCGTTAGATATGCCTATAAGATGGAACTCAACTTATATTATGCTTCAACAATGCATCCCCTATAAGCATGCTATAACAAACTATATGTGTGCAAAATTAGGAGTAGGCCATATAGACGCATTTGATTGGCAATTACCGAAGTTTTGTATCAATTTTTAGGTAGGTTTCATGAAGTTACTCTAAAACTTAGTGGAACATACTACCCAACACACCTTTAGCTTTAAGAGAACTTTTAAGAATTAGTATTTTATTTAGCGAATATAGGGAGGACCCAATCTTAGGAGTTCCTATTCATTCTATGGAAAAGAAATTTAAAAAATATTGGTCTAAGTTGCCTTTGTTATATGGTTTAGGTACAATTTTTGATCCTAGATTAAAATTAGACGGATTAGAAAGTGGTTTAGAAAACTTAGGTGAATTTTTAGGCATCACTTGTACGGATCAATTTTCAATAATAAAGGCAAAAATATATGAGATCTATAGTAAATATGAGATTAGGTTTAAAAGCACAAACTCTAGAATACAGGAACCACAACAACAAGATGAAAACCCGCATTCATTCTTGAATGTTTTCGGGTTAAAGAAGAAGAAGAAGACAACTCAAACAGAAGCTGGGAGTGGAAGTGGATCTTCATCAACAAGTGGCGGCGGTAGCTTCAACGAGCTTATGGCGTACCTTGGTGAAGGTTTAGTAGTCGACCGTACTAGAGAATCATTTGACTTAGTTCAATGGTGGAGGGCACGGGCATTAACTTAGTTAATCCTAACTCGATTGGCAATGGATATATTTTCAATCCCAGTGTCCACTATTTCATCCGAACAAGCCTTCAGTACGACAGAAAGAATACTTGAGGAACGCCGAAATGCATTGCAAAGGGACATTGTTGAAACCTTAGTCTGCATTAAGGATTGGGATTGGGTCGATCAACGTCTACTGGATACAATTTCGCCGGCAAGCCAAGAATGGATCGATGAATTTAATCGATTAACATTTAATTTTGAAGATGATCCTTCAGCTTCAAATTAAATTGTAAATTTGTAATTTGTAAATATGTATTTACTTTTGACATTGTATTTGTAATTGTATAACTTTGTAAGTTTGTAAAATTTATAATTCGTCACAAAATGATTGCACTCTTTTTTCCTTGCCAAGTTTTTATCCCAATTGGTTTTTTTTTTTTTTTTTAAGGTTTTTAACGAGGCAATCATGAATTACAAATTTAAAAATTAATAAAGAAATAATTTTTTTATATAGTTCGTGTGTTCATTTTAAATTTCAAATTGTAATATATATATATATCAAAATTTTAACACAAAATAACTTAATATTAAAAAAAATTTCAAAAATTCAGGCTACTCGGGCGGGCTTGGGCTGCCCGGCCGGGCTTGGGCGGCCTAATACAAGCCCGCAGCCCGTTCAAGGTAATTTTCGGGCTCGGGTGGGCGGCCCGAATTTTTTAGACGGGTCGGGCTCTGGCTCGGGCAAAAACTCGGTATTTTCGGGCGGCCCGTCTAAAGTTCCAGCAGTAGTTATAGCTGAGATATTCAAATTCTGAAGACCTCAACTTTAAATTATGGAATTAATACTAAATCAAACTTACACCTACAAAATTCCCATATGATTATACTAATACAATTGAATCAAATGTTTAGCTCAGTTGGATTGTACTTCTAGAAGTAATATTTTGAACTCTAGAAGACTAATGTACTTCTGTAAATTTGAATTAAGAAATTTTTTTAGAATTGACTCTTAATATTTAATGTGAAATTAATATTATTTTCTGTATTTAGTATTGTCTTTTTTTATTTTTAATTTATTTAAGTTGATCTATTTAAAAGGACAACTAATTAGAATTTTCTGTTTGAAAAATTTTATTAAGTTGAAACAAATCTAATTTGAATTTTAAGTTTTGACATTTTTAAGTACTAAAATATTTTATTCTCATTCCAATTTTTTTTTTTTTAAAAAAAAGTTGTTTCTGCCCAATTTTTAAATTTAAGGACTAAAATCCATAATTTTTACTTTCGAGACAAAAGTTTAAACTTTAGGGGCATTCGTAACCTTTCCGAAAACTGCCAGGCCCAATCCAAACATCAACAACGTTTAAACGGTCATTAACGGCGTCAGTCAGTCACAGGAGGGAAATCCAAATTGTTTTAAACAAAACCCAAATTCCATTTGCCTTATACTCATTTTCCCACCATTGTCTCTCTCTCTCTCTCTCTCTCTCTCTCTCTTCTCGTCTATTGCCCCTCAGGCGTGCCTGTGCTTTGGGGCATATCGATTCCGAAACTGCATTATCGATCTTCTCTGCGATTGGAGTTCGCCGAGAATTTTCCAGGTTTATATTCACGCTATGCATTTCTGGAGAATCAACCTTTCTTCTTCGTGTATGTAAGGTACCGTTTAAATGCTTCGGTTCAAAGATTTCTCTGCTTTTGATTTAATCTTCTTGAATATTATTCAAAATCTGTGTTTTAGGGTTCGTATCGAGATGGGTGGTAAATCGTATACTTTATCGCATTTATGCGAAGCTTTTATGGAAGTTGATTTTTGGGGGAATTTGGGGAAAATGAAATAGCCTTACTTTTGACGCCGTTCATGAAGTAAGTTTGCATCGAGAATAATGGAATCAAGAATACTTTTGCGCAACGAACTTAACTTCTTTTTTTTTTTTTTTAATAGTATTCTAGATATTCAGGTTCATCAAGGAATCTAAGTTATATAGATTATCATTTTAAAGGTTTACATTTGATTTTTACTAATTGGATGATGCTTGAATGGTCCATAGAAAGCGAACTGATCGATAAACGAGGCGGTGCGAATAGTATTTGATTTTATGGCAAAGGTTGCGAAACCCACTTCTGTACCATCTGCTTCTCTCCAGATTGGTGGAGGAGCCATCAAAGTTGGCCCAATGGTCAAAAGAAAGACACCATCTGAGCTGAGGGTGAGTTACTGATTGCGGGATATTGTTTATTTATGCGGAAATATTAATTATGAAACCGATTTTAATAGTAATCTTATAATGCATTTCAGGGGGAGCAGTTGAAGCGGACGAATCCTGTGGAGATCGTTGATGAATCTCCAGCCCCTTTGCTTCGTTCTACAAAGTAAGTTCTTTTTTTTTTTTTTTGCTTCTCCGCTTCTTCTTCAACTTTACTTTCGATTCGTTAATAAGATGCTTGTTTTCTTTGTTTCACAATAGTGAGGTGCATAATGGCCCCAAAAAAGCAGGAAACCCTAGATACATTGAGACCCGTATGGATGAACTATATCCTGCAAAGAAGTCGAGATTTAGGATGCTTTCTGGAAAAGAAAATGCTAAGGTCTCTGCATTTTTCTGTCATGTGTTACTTTTTTCTAATTTCTTTACATTATTCTCTTTTTTCCGGTAATTTTTCCATTTGATTTCAGTCTCCAGATGCTATCCCATTGATTTTCTGTGACATTGATTAATTTTCTCTTTAGGATGTCTCGATGGATCAACTTAGCAGCCTGAAAAATCTATCTCTGCTCTCTAATCTAGCTGCCAAAAGAAGGCATGAACTCTCAGGGTATGTCGTTGTAGTAAAGTGCATATAATCTGTGATGGGCGCATTCTTAAAAATCTTTGTACTCATACTATTGTGGTGGCAGTCTGGGAAATTCTGTTGGTTCCACTGAAGTTGCACAAGATGATGCAGTGCAAGCATGTCAAACAATTGAAAAAGTTAGTCAAAGTACATTTCGTAGTGTTACAGAGCTTTCCAAGGGTGATGATGGGTCATCTGGCTTTGCAACTGTTGATATGGTCTGTAAAGCATCTCTCTCTCTCTCTCTCTCTCCTGGCTTTTCTTGTTAAGGAATTCATTTCTGAATATTTTCCAACATTCAATAGAACAAAGCGTTACAAGGACTTGCTGCCCGCGAATCTTCAGACACTAGTGGTTTACCTGCTTCTTCCTCTGAAAGATGCATCGATCAAACATTTTCCAATTTGGGAAATTTCTGTGTACCTGGCCAAAAGGCTCCCTTGGATTTTACTCTGAAAACTAGTATGCGTGTAGTATCCTCTTCTCCAGTATCTTGGTGAGTGTACTAAAGTGGTGAATAACAGTATTTTTATCTTTTAAGTTCAAATACTTGACTAGAAATATTAAAAATTTGTGCTTGTACTAATGGTTATGAAATCATGTGCATAACTATCAACATGTAACATGGAGAAAAAGGTTTTATATTTTTCCTCCTCCTTTTGATGAAAAGCGAATAACAAACACTCTCTCACCCACTAATTCAATTCACTAATCACCCTTTTCTCCCTTTCCATATTCTTTCCTGTTTTGCATTCTTCTAAATTTTTATAAGCATATTATATTTATTTTTTAATCAATTCAATGTTGTTTTTAGGATTCACAAATCACTCATGTCTTGTGCATTTACTGGTCTGCCCTCTTTTGGCTTCCAAATTGCTTGCTCTGGTGATAAGAATAGGAGCAACAGCGCAGGGCTCACATCAACTTCCCACAGTTCTAAAATTTTTCATTCATGGGTCTACCCACAATCTACCTTACCACCTTCTCTCGTATCAGTCTTGACCTCATCAGTAGCTGGGGAAGGTGAAGTAACAAAATTCTTCAAGTTTTGTAGTGTTTGAAGTCCCCAGTTTCTCTGTAGCTGAAATTCTCTTCTTTACAAATTTCCTTATGCAGTGGAAATGGATTTTCTAAAAAGGCGGCAACTAGACTGGGAGGAATCATTCCGAAGTCTCTACTACATGCTTCGGGGTGGCATTTGTAACATCTTTTATGGTAGTTATCTATACTGGTACAATGTCAATGTTCTCATTTCATTTATCTTTTGTGTGCATCAATGCAAGACCTTTGAAATGACCTCGATGTCAAAATAAAAGGTTTCCAAAATAGCTCTGGATATTGGATTACATTACGGCTTCGTTCATTTTACCGATTTGAGTTTTCAGTTTTAGGTTTCTACAGTAAAAAGCTCTTAGAAAATGTCACATCAAAATTTTTTACTACAGTAAAAAGCTCTCAGAAAATGTCACATCTCAACTCAAATTGAAAACTCGAATCCGCGAAGTGAACGAGGCCTACATGTCATAGCTTGCACCACCAACGCAGCTACAATAGTTTTTAGCTAAGTTCTTTTTAGTTATAGTTTTGTAGTGTTTTTGTTTGAAGTAATATATTTGTGCTCAAACCAGAATAGTTTGTCAATGCTTCTTGCCATCTAGATGCACAGCATAATGTTAAATTATTGACATTCTGTAGCTTTTTATGCTCTTTCCAAGTTCTTGAACTGGTTGGTATTTTTCCCCTTTAACATGGCAGTCCCTGATCATCTGTTTTCACTTGAAATACCCTAGTGTGTACTCCACATTTTGTGGTGATGTTTACTGGTTATGATGGATTGGGAGGAACCAAACGCTTGTTCAATGCTTATATCTCTCAGTCAACAAGAAGCTTGCGGGCATTGTTGAAAGAGCATGTAAGTGATGTCCCTTTGTCTGTTTTTTACTGCACAATATGGTTTATTTTTGGGCGCGATAGAATCTGTTAACTGAGGTTTCTTATGTGAAAGTTATTGTTCTTTGAATTTAAATCCTTGTTTTACAATTGTGTGTGTTAATGAAACTTTGCTCAATTGATGTTAATCTGGTCTGGTAAAATTTGTGTTTACTAGGACGTCTGTTTCTCTATGCCTCTTTGCCGTTCCAAAGTGGAGCAAGTCACAACAGAAGATCTTGTTGAGCTCTCAGAGATTGAGAAGCAGAATTTAGGCCAGGTATCTGCACTTTTGTACATGTGCATGAATTGCAGTATATTCTCATTTGTGTTTGAAAGAGCTCAATCCAGTTTCTAGTCTTCTTGCCTCTGATGGACTATTCTGCAAACTGAATTTTGATTATGTTTCTTCCACCTCATACCCTATTGGTGCTTCCATTGAAAACTAATGCAGACTCGACGACGACTGAGTTCCTTATCTGACATTGATAATAGCCCAGAATCCTTGCTGGCTTTCAATGGCAACAAGAATGTACATGGTTTATATGATATGTTGTTAAATTATAGGTATGAAATAGCATTTGGCTAATGCGATCAAATAATTATCTAATTTCCTTTCGTTATATTACCTGAGCTAATATCTCTTTTGTTGTATTCAGATCTTTCTTGACTTCCTTGATGGGAATGGATGTTCCTGTACTTTATTCACCTGTGCCATTTCAGAATGCTGCCTCTTCTGCTCCTGAGGTGGGTGTAGTACATGTCTCTAAGATTCCATCGTATTTTGTATTTCACATTTTGACTCGGTGAAACTTAAATACGTTACAACTGTAACTTTTATGTGCTCGGCTGTTCGAAAGGCTCTCTCTTCCTTGAATGCTTAGACAATCTATGTTTCTGCTTTCATACCATCTTTAGTGAAGTCTTGTTCCTGTGGGATTACTTTCGGTCAGCGGCTTGTCTTGAAATGCTGTAGTTGGATTGTTTACTGAATAAGTCACTACTCACTAGCATATTAGTTATGCAGATGGTAGGAAATTTCACTACATGAATGTTTCAGTTTTCTTGCCTTTGTTATGTGGAAAATTGCTAGTCCATACGTCATTGTGCAAATGTGAATACCCCCTTATTCCAGGTTAAATGCATGGAGTTGAAAAGAGCAGAGTATGCTCCTACTTCTGACAAAGGATCCACCGTGAAAGATGGTGAATCTATGGATCCATTGGCTTTGGGTTTCTGCTCTAGTGTGGAAATTAAGGATGCATATCTTCCACCATGGATAATCTGCAGTATATGTGCCGTAATGGGCTCTGAAGGGAGAAGCTTTGAAGCAAGGTATGGTAAACATGATCGGTTTTGAATTTTCATCTAATGTTGCACGCACTGTCGCGCATTTTTAAGTTGTTCAAAGTCTTGTTAATATCCATAGAATTGTCTTGGTTGGCATCAGCCATCTGGTTTGAAAGGTGATGCACATAAAATCCAAGCCTATCCTCCATTTTAAAGTTTAACAGAAATGGATATTTAATAGCTTTTCTATTACTCTTACTTTCAAGCTGTTGCACTGTGTAAAGTACTTTGCCATTTAGTACTTAGATGGTAGTTTGATCTGATTTGGTTGGTTTTCAGTTTTACGACAGAACCTACTTCAATGGCCTTGAATGTTGCTCTAGAAGCAGTCAGTGAGAAATCCGACGATAAAGAAGCGAGTCATGCTTTTGGAATTCCAGAAGCCATAGTTGCCTTTCAATTGCGTTCGGGTTTATTAAAAGGCTTGAAGTACTCAAACGGTTCATATACAGCTACTTTGTCTCCAATATGAAGTTCTCATTTTAGAAGAAAATCATCAAATATAATTTACAAAATATTATGTTGCTTTTAAGTTTTTTGGAACCTTAGTACTTTCCTTTGTACTTTGACTATGTACGATCTAAATTTTGGAAGATTAAGACCAATGATTTTGGGAAATTTTGCTTCATAAATGAACCTCAGAACTTGCCAACAAGGGTAACCTTCATATGTAGGGTATTTGCTACTTTTACAATTTGAACTCTCACTAATTGGCAAGTTCTCCCTTTCAACTTTTAATTCCGGTAAATTACTCCATTAATTAATAAACTATTGCAGAGTGGTCTCAAATCAATCGTCATTTTTAAAATTTGCAAGAAATGCCATCATAGACATCATGTGAGCACATTTGAGGGGCAGGGATTGAAATTGTGGATGATGGCATAGCATTAATGTCATGTGTTAGGGCGTTTGCACTTTTTAATACAAATTTCAGTCCTCAATTTGAAGAACACTGTAATACTTCATCAACTTTAGGGGGTTTATTTGTCAAAAACAAAAGTTTACAACTTGTCCATATTACAAAATTCAGGAATAAAAACGACAAAACCCTCTTTAAGCAATTAGTAAATACTAAAAAGTAAAATAGATCGTACAAGAGACAATTGGATCAATAAAGATCAAACAAGTTTTCCCAATATCGGATCTTTTAGGCTACAAAATTTTGCCTCTTGTGCTGCTTTTTTTTATTATTATTTTTTATTTTGAGTAACTGGAATGCAGAGGGCACTTCCAACATAAATTGCAAATGGAAACACAATGAATAGTGATTCCAATTCTGCTATAACCTGTTTTGTGACTCGCACGAGCCGTCAATTGTGCATTGCTTATTCACACCAGCTTAACGACTTTCACATGTGATAAGAGCCTTTAATTTCAAATTTACTATTGAAGATATGATCCGATGTCCCCCAAATTCACTAGATCAACTAAAAACAGCAATTTAAAGAGAAAAAAAAATGTAAAGAATGAGTGAACAAGAAAAGCATCTTGAATTCGTTTCAATTCGTTTATCTTCTTTGATGTTGGAGGCAAGAATGGAGATTTCTGCTATACCCTTCAAAGGTTAGAGATACAAGAAGTACCAGTCTGGTTTGCTCACTTTCATGTGGTCTCCAGAAGATGTTTCTCTAGAAAGAGAACTTGAAAGCACCGGCCTTCGAATCAGTCACCGATTCCCAGAAGGATGGTTTTTTTTCTTTGGCCTTTTTCTCCTCTGCTTTCTGCACCAACTGATCAATAGTTCCGGGGAAACAAGCCTCAAAGGTTTTCTTAAACTTTTCATACAAATTCACTCGATCTCTCGTCCCAGATACCAGTGCACTAGCATTTGGCCTCTGTAGAAAATCCAACACATTCAACAAATTTCTCCTGCAACATAGAAGAAAGCCAGCTAAAGGGTTAATCTTATTTCTGTCTAAATCCTTAACCAATTATGAAAATATGAAGGGTCATTCTATTCATATGCTTGATAGGAGCTTCCTGGAAAAAGCAGGGTTTTTTTTAATACAAGGAAGGATCGATTCGCAACCTCCCCTAAAGCCTCACCCCCAGCCCCACTTGACCAAACGGTCTTAGGCAACAAGATCTTGAATTAATACACCAAAATGGAATAAATTAACCCTGGCTTTGCTAAGGCTACTAGAAAAAGAAAAGGAAAAAAAAAAAAAACATCAAGGCTATTTCATCTTTGTACTATATTCCAGCTTCAACTACCTTATAACGAATATGGAAGTTCAAACAGCGGTTATGACTTTTGAGTACATTCGAAAACATAGATTGCATCAAATTGGAAATAAAATAAAATAAATAAAATAAACCTGCTAACATAATTCTGGGTAATGGCAATAGATTCCTCAAGGTTGATCACCAAATGCCACCATCCATTAGGCACAAAAATCACCTCCCCAGCCTTACAAATGCACTCTATAGGTTTCTTCTTCCAAGTTTTGGTTGCACCATAGAAGTTCATGAACCACTCAATTATCGAAACGGGACATGCCACCTCTGCTCCATCGGGGCTCGGATGCACCCCTGGAGGAACCACATCAGGAGGAAACAAAACCCATTTCTTGGACCCTTTGATCATTGCATTCCACGCCGATGTCGAATTAGGATCAATGTGGAAGGACGAGCCAGAACCGGCCGGTCCAATTATTATCCACCTATAATCCGGCCTCTCATTCCCCAACAAACCAAACAAATCCTCCCTAAAATACACGGGAACTTCATACTCCGAATCCAACCTCGGCACCTTCTCCGCAAATTTCGGGTCAAATAGATACAACGGCCTCTCTTCCCTTGCCTGATCCGAGTACCTAAAGTAGTCCTCAAGCTTCATCTCCACAGGCCCTACCGAAAACTGCAAATCCCCACAGAGCTTAACCAAATAGTCCCTATCCCATTTTTCAAGAGCAGCCCAGTTATCCAGACACCCTTCTAACAAAACAGGCTTATTTGGTTCCTCAAAACTAGACACGAACTCTTCAACCGAAATTCCTCTTCTTCTAACTATATTATCCCTCTCAAGCCATTCAGGTTTCATTTCCAGATTCGCACACAACCAACTCTGAAAGAGATAATCAGAATAAAAGTCCCTCACTCTCAAACATGATGATCCAACATTGTCAAACATAGGGTAATGAGCAGAAACGTAAGTAGATTTCCAAGACCCGTTATACAAAAACCCACCTTTTAGATTTTCCAACACAAGATTCCTCCAAAGGGGTTCGTGATTTGCAAAGACATAAAAAGATTTGCTCACTGTGGCTAAAATCCCCAAGTGGGTCCCACCCAAAAGGGCGAGAATATCAAGAACAAGCTCATCAGTTAGGATTTGGAGATTACCCAGACCTGTGTTTCTGGAGTTGACTGATCCTGGGTTGAGGTAGAGATTGCCCAGAGGTTGAACTCCATGGGAGTGTGATCGAGTAGAAGATTTGAGGCTGAAACCTTCTTCCTCTTCTTCTTCTTCTTCTTCTTCTTCTTCTTCTTCAATGGGGTTTTCTTTTCTGGAAGCAGATTTTCTTCTGAGCTTGTTTTTGCTTTTCTTCTTCTTTTTCTTTATGGCTTGGGATAACAAGCTCTTGCAGTTTGGCATTGTTGAGGGTTTTGCAGCTAAACAGAAAGAAAACTAAACTCTATGGAAAGATTGGTAGGGTTTAGCACCTTGGCAGTTGGCATTATTAGTTAAAAACGTTTCGCTGGCGTTTCGGTTGCGTTCATTTCAGAAAAACGCGTATTTGTTTTTTATGTTGCGAGCCTTTGTTTGGCGTTGAGGCCTTCAAATTGGACCAATTAGAGGCCCATTCGTCTACGTGACATCAATAGGATGAGGAAACAAAACGTAAATACTATCATTTGTCTACGTGGCATCAATAGGATAAGGAAACAAAACGTAAATACTATTAAGCCGTTAAAAATATTATTTATATCATTTTATTTAAAAATAAATTATTGTCATTTAACTAATAAATAAAAAATAAAAGACCACTCTAATATTTAATTATTTAAAATGATATTACAATAGACTTGTTGAGTGAAAATATTTATTAATGTTGAAATAATATTTCACACACAACATAATTTCACCTATTTTAGGATTTAATTAGCATAGAAATTTATTATTTTTAGTTCGACCAATTCAAGATTATAAGAATAACCTCTTAATTACAATCCCTTAGTACAAGGAAAAACCTTTTGATTCTAATTAAAACAGTAAATTTTATTTTGTGTGAATTTGAGAAATTTGGGTTGATTTAAAATTGCGGCTCAACTCAGCGAATTTTGTCGAGTTGCCTACATACCCCGTTAAGGGATCAAGCCATTTGTAGTTCAAATTTTGGGTTTGAAAATTTTGGATAATTCCTCGGTGTATGACCTTATGAGGAATTTACGCACTTTGAAATTTGATTTAATTTTGTTTTGATTCTGTCTTTTATGAGAATTTTCATAATTGAATTTGATCTTGAAACTGCACCTAAATTTTAGGTTGCCTATGTATCCCATAGGGAATCAAGTCAATCGTAGTTCTTGATTTGGGTTTGGATTTTAGAGAATTCCCCGATATATGACCATAAGAGAAATTCAAAGATATTTTAAAATTCGATTTAGAATTTTACTTTAGAATTTAGATTTGAAAGTTATATTTGGATAATTTCCCGGTATATGACCTTATGAGGAATTAAAATGATCTTTTTTTAAATTTGGTGTTGAGATTTTTTTTATTTGAATTTGGGATTTGAAAATTATATTTAATCACCATATGGTTTTATGAGACAATGGGCTCATTTTTTGAACTTAGGGGTCATAAAAGAGCTCAATTTGTGCATTTCAAATTTTTAGGTATTTAATATTCCGAATTTATTTTGAAATTTATCCTTTATCCCTTATCTTTTAAAAAAAAAAATTGAATTTCATCATATCTAAACTGATTGATCCGATTGTATGATGTATATTCCTTTTTTAGCACGTGATATATATATATATATATATACATATATATATATATATTTGTGAAGGTATTGAGAAAGAGATACAAGTGACGGTTGCTTGCTCTCATTTTTTTTTAATTTTTCTTCTTTGATTGTTTCTTGGCAGGTATAGTGCGATTCATATGAATATTTTTATATAAATCATATGCACATAATTTTTCATATGTCGATTTTTAAAGTGTAATTCATATGAGTTTTCCACTCGAATTACACTCAAAACAATCGTAATAAATAATTTGGGAAACTTTTAATCCTTGATTTTTTAAAATCACATTTAATTTATATAGATCTTTAAAAAGAAATCTAAGTCTTAGTGATAATCATAGGATCATGATAAGAACGAGAAACCACATACCATGAGTGCATTAAAAATTTATTAAGAGCTGCAAATAAAAAAATCTCACACCATAAGGCGTATATAAAACTTATCTTCGTAGAGAGTGTCAATGAATAAATCACAATCTCACACTTTAAAATGTATATAAAACTTAATTTAAGTGCACTGTAACCAAAAAATAAAAATTGTTAGTACAAAAGAAGACCAAACCATGTATTTACCTTCTTATTTTTCACCTCCACACACACACTTTTTGATTTTTTTTTCTTCTCACGTTTTCACACAGCTGCACCTTTCTTTCTTTCAGTTCTCACGTTTCTCTGCAGCCTTCTGCGCCTTTCTATATATATATATATATATATATATATATATTTCTTTCTTCCTTTCACTTTTCTGCACACACGGTTTTGTTTTCTCTTTTACACACACTTTTGCACACACGCACCAAGTCTTTTTTTTTTTAGAAGCTCTCTCGCTTCTTTCTTCATGTAAGAGTATTCTGTAACAATTTTTTTATCCACTACTTCACTTTCTGCACTCATTTTTCATCACGTTTCGTACCCATTTTTTTGTCACGTTCTGCACCCATTTTGTCACGTTCTGTCCCTTTTTTACCATCATTTCATGTTTTAAAACGTGGTTCTTTCTCTCCCTTTTTTTATTTTTTACTTTTATTTTTTTTTTTGGGCCAGCACGAGGTTTTATTTTCTCCTCTCATTTTTTTAAGACCCATTTGTGATTCATTTTTTTTTTACCTCAAGCGTGTGCGTGTCATTGATGAACACGTGCAGCGCTTGAGTTCTTTTTTTTTTTCTTTTTTTTTCAGTTGCCGATGGATGTTTATGGGGAGATTTGTTCAGAGAGGATGCCAGACAATCGTGGTGGAGAGATTGATTTTGGTCCAAAATTTCACCGTTCAGTATCGTTAAATGAAATCATTGCCTCTACAGATTCGAAACACCGTGCTATTTTGACCACCACTTGTAAGGTACCTTGTGAAGATTTGAGATATAAATTCTCAAGTGAGACCAAAGCTGTTCAACATCTTCAACAACATGGTCATATCTTTAATGAGAAATTTCTTGGGGAAGTTAACAACGATGATGATGGAGACTGCAGATTTGTGGCGACAAATGAATTCTACCCAGACCTTTTTTACAATTTGAGAGACAAGAAAATGTCAGGAAAATTCAATTTCCGTGGTCGAGCTTGCTTCCAACTTTCTCTAATGGAATGGACTGAGCACATTTTAATACATAACCACACTATTTTACGTGGTGCAAATATTTATGGAGCAGTTGATGTTTCTAGGTTCCCCTATGCACTTAATGCTAATGTATGGAGAGCCTTTGTTGAACTATAAGGGCCACAAACTAATACATTCCATCATAGTGGTGGCGAAATGAGAATCTCTTTATATGATTTGAAAAGAATTGGAGGCTTAACCATTCTCGGAATTCCTTATGAAGAATTTATTCCGCCAAATGCTCGATTACTAAATCCTTCCTTGTATTCTCCTACTGTTGCTGAGCTTCTGAGAACCCACTCCAGAATTTACAAATTTTTAAATGTCACAAAGGTTTCCTGGGGAGAATGGATTGAGTATTTTTATCGTGGGGATACGCTTCTTCCTGGGTTGCCAAGTGGGCCTTTGACTAAACCCAGGCAAACACCTTATAGAGGGAAAAGTTTTTTGAAAGAAAGGCCTTCTCTCAAGACCTTGCGTTTAGATGTTTCGGAAGAGTGCATGCTTGTAGCTTTCCTATCTCTTTGGCTGAGTTGGTTTGTTTTCCCCTATCAGAATAGTTACATTAGGCCTGAGACTTTCTGCATGGCCACTTTGATGGCGCAAGGAAAGAAAGTGTCGCTTGCACCTTCTGTTTTGGGTTATATTTGCCATGCATTGAGTACTTCTGCAACAGATCCACGAGGAATTGGTGCTTCTGAAATTCACTTGCCTATGCATTATGTGATAGGATGGCTAGCTGAATACTTTCCCTGCCTTTATTCAAGTTGGGATGTTGTTGATGATTCTCCTCGGATGCGTAGGGTTGCCGGACTTCCAGCTAATAAGCAAAGTTTAAATGTAGCTAGAAGCACTTTTAGGGGCGAGGACTACGTGCCGTCGTCCGTTTTCTTTTCTTGAGAGAGATGACAGTCTTTACTTAGATGATAATGGTTTATCTGACGACATCTTTGAGCTTATTGTTTCCTTACAGTCCTCTATATTACCTGTAAGAGTGGGAAACAATTTATACCTCGAAGCATATTCCCCTAATAGATTTGCTCGTCAATTTGGCTTTGACCAAGGTGTGCCTTCAAACAACTTATACCTCAGTCCCAAACGTGGTTTATCTATCGGGATTCTTGATATAAAAGGAGCATGGGATTTTCTTCTGAGAAGGGATACTGGTGCCCTTTTTGAGGTGCCAAGTATGACTCGGACGGGCCAATGCACATGGTGGTACGGTCGCTGGTTGGTGAAATGTAGTACACCGTATTTGGGAAGATCTGTGGAAAGTATTCATTCTTTGTTCAGTAAGCAGCCTTATAAGGCAGAATAACTCACATTCATAATTACCGATATTAGGAAGGTATATGAAACACTTGATGACATGCTTACCAAGTGTCGCTCTCGAGTAAATGAAGGGCTTCTGAGGTTCAAAAATGCGCGTCATTTGATGAAGCAGGCGATTCTGAAACATGCCATAAGAGGACAAAAATCCAGTGTTCTCAGACTTCTAACATTGATGCTCCTTAGGCTTCAGAAAAACTTAAAATTTCTAGTGTTGGACTTCCTGAGACTACCGAGCCTTCCTCTGCCCTAATCGGTCGGGACACCCCTATTACTGAAGACAGCTTAGATGTGGGAGATGAACATATGACTGACAATCCATTCAGAGATGATGAGTTTACAGATTATAATCCATAGTCCACTTGAAGAGGGCCTTTTGGAAGAGAATCAACTTAAGGAACATACTCCTATCAGGGGAGACACAGGTGCAGAGACATCCAGATGTTTAGATATCGTCCCTTATGTGGAAAATCCTCATCTTTTGGCGATGGTGGTTCCTCCTCTCTGTAATCCAGTAATCACAATGTTGCCTCAAGATCCGACTGCCATTCAATCTTGTCAAGAGTCCGTCATCGGCCCCCCGCGCGCCCCCGCCCCCGCCCCCCCCCCCCCCCCCCAGCGCGTCCGCGCGACTTGAGGCGCGCGCCCGCGCGCTAGGCGCGTTCCACCAACTTCAGGCGCGCGCCCGTGCGCCGTTCCTCCAACCCATGTGCGCGCCCGCGC